TTGGAATTAAAAAATCCTTAGAAAAAGGTATTTTTATTTTATTTATTATTATTATTAGTTTTGAGACAGAGTCTTGCTCTGTCATCCAGGCTGGAGTGCAGTGGCTTGATCTCAGCTCACTGCAAGCTCCCCTCCTGGGTTCAAGTGATTCTCCTTCCTCAGCCTCCTGAATAGCTGGGACTACAGGTGCACGCCACCATACCTGGCTCATTTTTGTATTTAGAAAAAAGTATTTTAAAAGTGTCTGGAATTTTTCTCCTTGGGTGTTAGAAGTTTCAGAACCGAAAAGAAAGTGAAAAGTATATTTGCTTTGAGATTTTTTTCTTTCACTTTTAATTTAGCTACATGAATTTAACAGGAACTGATTTTTGTTATTAAAGGAGAAAGTCCTATTTCTAATCTTACACGTTTCTTTTTTGAGACAGAGTCCTACCCTGTCTCCCAGGCTGGGATGCCAATGGTATGTTCATAGCTCACTGCAGCCTCAAACTCCTAGGCTCCAGTGATCCTCCTTCCTCAGCCTCCCAAGTATGTGGAATTACAAGTGCATGCCACAATGCCTGGCCAGTTTTCAAAATTTTTGTAGAGATGGAGTCTTGCTATGTTGCCCAGGCTAGTCTTGAACTCCTGGCTTCAAGCAATCCTTCTGCCTTGGCCTCACAAAGTATTGGGATTACAGGCATGAGCCACTGTGCCCAGACTTATATGTTCTTTTTCTTATACATTAATACAACCAAGATTAAGCCAAAAAAAAAAGAGAGAGAGAGAAAGAAAAGAAAAAACACACTTACCTTAGTTCTGTAAAAAAGTCTTGCATCTTCCCTAATATCACATTTAACATGCTTTTCCAAAGCCCCACAGAGCAGCACAAAGTGTTTCTGTGCAAAACAAATGCAAGGAATGAAAACAACTCTGATGCATTACAAATTAACAAAGAAGAAATTATGCAGTTAGAACAACTAAATCATTTAAAAATCGATTATTCCTGATAGCAATGACTGATGTTAACCATTCAACGTAACAGTAGTTGTATCAGTGAAAGTAGCTGCTTCCATGATAGTGAGATTACAAGTTTAAAAACTATATAGTATAACAAAAGTTGTTTTCCTATGCATTAACTCATATTAATGAAAATTAACCCCAGAGCTCCAACTGAGTAATGTAATACTCAGAAATTTAAGAAGTCCTTCCTTTAACACATTGTCTAATAAAATATTCAAATAAGAGCTAGCGTGTTTTCCTTTTTTTAATTCAAAAAATTTTTTGAGACAGAGTTTTGCTCTTATTACCGAGGCTGGAGTGTAATGGCATGATCTTGGCTCACTGCAACCTCTGCCTCCTGGGTTCAATTGATTCTCCTGCCTCAGCCTCCCGAGTAGCTGGGATTACAGGCATGTGTCACCACACCTGGTTAATTTTGTATTTTAGTAGAGACGGGGTTTCTCCTTGTTGGTAAGGCTGGTCTCGAACTCCCGACCTCAGGTGATCCACCCCCCTCGGCCTCCTAAAGTGTTGGGATTACAGGCATGAGCCACCACTCCCAGCCCCCAATTTTTTTTTTAAAGAAATGGGTCTGGCTCTGTTGCCAGGCTGGAGTGCAGCGGCACAATTATAGCTCACTGTACCCCTGAACTCCCCAGTTCAACCTCCTCCAGTCTCAGCCTCCTGATTAGCTAGGATTACAGGCATGCGCCACCATGCCCAGTTTTTTTTTCTTCCTGAGACAGAGTCTTGCTCTGTCACCCAGGCTAGAGTGCAGTGGTGGGATCTCAGCTCACTGCAACCTCCACCTCCCAGGTTCAGGCAATTCTCTACCTCAGCCTCCAGAGTAACTGGGATTATAAGCATGTGCCACCATGCCCAGATAATTTTTGTATTTTCAGTAGAGACAGGGTTTCATCACATTGGCCAGGCTGGTCTCAAACTCCTGACCTCAGGTGATCCACCTGCCTAAGCCTCCCAAAGTGCTGGGATAATAGGTGTGAGCCATCACAACTGGCCAATTTTTTTTTTTTTTTAATTTTTAAATTTTTTGTAGAGACAGGGTCTCACTTTGTTGCCAAGGCTAATGTCAAATGCCTGGCTTCAAGTGATCCTCCCACTTCAACTTCCCAATGTGTTGAGATTATAAGCATGAGCCACTGCACTTGGCCAGCACAACACTGGCCCATTTAATATTTGATATTGGTATCTTATGAATATATTATACTATTGCCAAGGTATAATGGTTAGCTCTCCAACAAACAGAGCTAACATTTGCTGACAAATAATTCTTTTCAATATGACATGGTTACAATACCACACTATTCTGCCTCTCTTTCTGGTATACATGGGAATTCTTACAGGAAAATCCGTTTGAGATTTTTTTTTTTTTTTTAAGAGATAGGGTCTTGCCCTGTTGCCCAGGCTGGAGTGTAGTGGTGGGATCATAGCTCACTGCAGCTTTGAACTCTTGGGCTCAAATAATCTTCCCATCTCAGTCTTTTGGGTAGCTGGGACTACAGGTGNGTGTAGTGGTGGGATCATAGCTCACTGCAGCTTTGAACTCTTGGGCTCAAATAATCTTCCCATCTCAGTCTTTTGGGTAGCTGGGACTACAGGTGTGTGCCACCACACCTGGCTAGTTTTTGTTTTTGGTTTTTTGTAGAGACAGCATCTTGCTATGTTGCCTAAGCTGGTTTTAAACTCCTAGGCTCAAGTAATCCTTCTGCCTCTGCCTCCCAAAGTGTTGGGATTACAGGCATGAGACACCACACGTGGCCCTATTTTTTTTTTTTTTTTATGTAGGAACAACACAAGCTTTCAATAATAGAGGTTCATACTTAATTCTTTGAAAAATTAAGCATCTTAAATTTTACAAATGTAGATACCTAAGCAGTTCTCTCATATATACTTGGTGAGAATGTAAATGAACACTTTCTGGGATGAAAATGTGATAACAGCTATTTAAAATAATTAAAATTTGAAATATTTATAAATTTTTGATACAGTAATTCTACTTCTAGGAATTTACCTTACAGCTATGCTTGCCGAAATAGACAAAGATATATGAATAAGCATGTTCATGTTAACACTATGTGTAATCACAAAAAACATACTGTTTATCAATAAAGACTCCAAAATGCTATAGTTATTAGACAGAAGTGCTAATATTTGATTTTTTATATATTTTTTGAGACAGGGTCTCACTCTGTCACCCAGGCTGGAGGGCAGTGGTATGACCACAGCACATGGCAGCCTCGACCTCTTTGGGCTCAGGTATTCTTCCTACCTCAGCCTCCCAAGTAGCTGGGACTACAGGTATGTACCACCATGCCCAGCTAACTGATTTTGTTTTTTGTAAAGATGGGATTTTGCTATGTTGCCCAGGCTAGTCTTGAACTCCTGGGCTCAATCGATCTGTGTACCTCAGCTTCCCAAAGTGCGAGGATAACAGCTGTGAGCTGCTGCGGCCAGCCAAGTACTAATATGTTAAAAAGAAAAAAAAGGAAGTTGCAAATGATACTAATAGTATGATTCCATTTTTGTTAAAATAATTGTTAGTACATGTAACGTATAAATTGTGAAGAAATTTACAGGAGGGCATTGGATTGTAGGAGTCTTTCACTTTCTACCTTATGTAAGTTTTACAATAATCACTTTTTTTTTTTTAATAGAGATGGCATTGCTCAGGCTGCTCTTGAACTCCTGGGCTCCTGGGCTCAAGTGATCCTCTTGACTTGGCCTCCCAAAGTGCTGGGATTACAGGCATGAGCCACCATGCCCAGTCACTGACTTTTTTAACCACAAAAATTTACAGCCAGGTGCCGTGGCTCATGCCT